GAAAAAAAAAAAAAAAAAAAAAAAAAAAAATAGAATCTCTGAGGGGTGAAACCCCAACATCAGTATTTTTTTAAAAAGCTGTTCAAGTGATTCTAATGTGCATCAAAGGTTGAAAATTGCCAAACCAAACCGTATCTAATATTGTTTCCAATTTTGGCATTGTCTCATTTTGTGATTCAGTGGCACAGTTAAAATTGACTTCATCATATCTACTTGCAGGGGGAGGAGAAATAGGTGACTGAGTTGGGATAAAAATTCATTCAGCTATCTGTAGAATAGCATCTTAAATCCTGAGAGAGGTACAGCCGTCGTAGGATTAGTGAGAAGAAGCATATGAAATGGTTAAGTGGCAGCATAAAACAGAGTATTAAGTGCCCAAATAAAAATTCTAAATAAAAATGTTGAATGCTGTGTTATGTGTCTATGCTTATATGCATACTATAACTTTTTTTCCAATATTTTTTGAGTACATTTGACCTAACATGGGGTTAGGGGTTCTGGCCCTACTGCACAGTAGAAAATCCATGTATAGCTTTTGACTTCCCCCAAACTTAGCTACTAATAGCCCACTGCTGGCCAGAGGCCTTACTAATAACTGTGAATTAACATATGTTGTATGTATTATATGCTGTATTCTTACAATAAAGCAAGCTAGAGAAAAGAAAATATTATTTAGAAAATCATAAGGAAGAGAAAATACATTTACAGTTCCATACAGTATTTACTAAAAAAAATCCACGTATAAGTGGATCTTTGCAGTTCAAACCCGTGTTGTTCAAGGGTTAACTGTACTTACCATAGGTCAAGCACTTTACATGTATTAATTCATTTAATCTCTAGAACAATCCTGTGAAGTATTATTATTGTCATCCCCAATTCGCAGATGAAGAATCTGAGGTCCAGAGCAGTTAAGTAATAGAGCTCATAACTGGTAGAGCTAGGATATAAATCCAGGCCATCTGACTCCAGAGCCTGAGTGTAACCACTGTATATTGCATAAACCATGGGAGACATCCCAGGAGGGGAGACCCAGAAGCACTTTTTGGGGGACTCCCTATCTCTTGTCTCTATGCCCCTCCAGCTTGTTGGGCATGAGCTGAAGGGAATCCTGGCAGGGGAGGAGTGTTTGGGAAGAGGTTCTGCTCCAGAAAGGGGCTGATCAATAGAAGTGGGAAGAGTGAGAGCATCACAGGGCAGCCTGGCCCAGTCCTCCCCCATCTCTGACTTCAGCTTCCAATTGTAGTGAGCAAGCAAAACAGAGGCAGCTTGGAAGATGCCTGGTGCTTCACTCCAGGAGCCGTGGGGCCTGGGAAAGAAGGGCATGGATTGGAAAGGGTGCCAGAGAATGGTGACATGGGGCAATGAAACAGAAGACAGGGGCTAATGAGGGGGGTTGGTGTTGGGGGATTCAGGGGTGAGTCTGCTAATGTTAAGAATAGGCTGACTCAGGGTAAGTTCAAGCCCATCCTGTATTACCTTCACTCCTCTTGGCACAACTGCCTGACATTTTCACAATCACTATAGAGACTGCCAGGATTCTGCAGACATCAGCCCTGCCCTCCTCTTCCACACACTGGGTGCTCCTTTGCCCTAGAGCTGGGCAGAGGACGTGGGGTACCTGTATCTGGGGACCCCAGCCGATCTTTTCAGGGTTATCCTTTATCTGTTCTTCTTCTGGACCCTTATTATTCATGGTATAACTGCGGTGGATGAAGCTCAGCTCCACTTGCCTTTGGTAGAAATGGACACAAGTTGCATACATATTTGGAGAATGACTGTTGAAATTTGAAATCTCTGTCCACCTTTCCATAAAATTTCCCACCCAGATTATTTTCCCCTAGAATGAATGAATGCAACTCCATGCACCTTTTCTCCACTCATTTCCTTGTTCTTTTGAGGTCTCTTTCAGATTTAGCTTTAATTAGCAAGCTCCAAACTGACTGTGCCAAACATCAGGGCTGGAGGCTGGTAAGTTCTTAGGGGTTGAGTGAGGACTGGGGGAGGACATGGAGTAAATGGAGAAAGTTTCACATACTGGGAAATATGGCTGGGCTTCAAGAGAGGGGGCTGGTGGCATACGTCCAAGTTCCAAATGTTGGCTTGAAGCCAGTGCTCAAAGAAAAGGGGCCCTCAAGACAGTCCAAATGGTGCCCTGTGGGAAGTGACCTCCAAGTCCTTCTCCTCAATATGCAAGGGTTTCTCTTGGATCCTCAAAGACCAGAGTGGTCACGCTATTTCTCCCACTGATTCCCCTCAGTCATGCTTATATTCTCCCAGCCACTCCCACGGTTGAAACTTTAGCTACAGCCAGAATTCAGAGGCAAGCAGAAGGATTCCAGTGCTGGAGAGGTGGATGGAATGAGAAAGTCCTCATGTTGTGTGTGTTGGGGAGGACAAGCCTGACCCTGGGACATGTGCTCCAAGCCTCTGTTGCCAGATGAGGTGGAGGGAGAAGTTAACCCTGGAGTGTGTGTTCTGGAAGTATTTGCTTGTAAGCTAGAGACAACAGCTGGAAAAAGTGATCTGGGGGAGGTGAAAAATAGGGATCCTGGATGGAAGGGAAGAAGGTGTTAAGGAGGGAAGGGGCTGGAGAAAACCTCAGCTTCCACTCAGACAAGGGCTAAAGTCTTTGCTGGGTCTGGACATTTCTCAATTTTTAAAAAGTTTTGAAATTATTTTGAAATAATTATAGACTCAGAGGAAGTTGCAAAAATTGTACATGAAGTCCTGTGTACCCTCCACTCAACTTTTCACAATAGTGACATCTTATATAACTGTAGAACAATATCAAAACCAGGAAGTTGAACTATTAATTAGCCTACAGGTCTTATTCAATTTTCACTATTTTTTACATGCACTCCTCTGTGTGTGTATAGATTTGGATAACCACTACCATAATTGAAATTCAGAACTCATGGGCCGGCCCGTGGCTCACTCGGTAGAGTGCGGCGCTGATAACACCAAGGCCGCGGGTTCGGATCCCATATAGGGATGGCCGGTTTGCTCACTGGCTGAGCATGGTGCTGACAACACCAAGCCAAGGGTTGAGATCCCCTTACCGGTCATCTTTTTTTAAAAAAAAAAAAAAAAAAAGAAATTCAGAACTCATCACCATGAAGGAACTCCCTGTGCTGTCTCTTTATATTTGTACCCATCCTCCTCCATCCCTGTCTTCTGGAAGCCACTAATCTGTTCTTCATCTCTATAGTTTTGTCATTTTGAGAATGTTATATAAGTGAAATAATACAGTATCAGTATTGGTTTTTTAACTAATTCCCAAGCTCTTGACTCAAATACAAGAAGTTCTCTGGCAGGCTATACAGATTATTTATTTTAATGTTGTGCTTCTTCCATTCTCTGGATCCCTCCGGTTTCTTCATTTCCCTTTTTATCTATAATATTACTTTTCACTCCAACATTCTGATCTCATTTCTCCTTTAGGGAAAATCTACATGTCTAAATTTAATAGGCTGGTCTAGTGCTCTCCTGTTCCCCACACTCCTTGCTCCACTATTTATAGCTAGGCTAATTTTGGGTGGACTCTCTCTTCTTTCCTGTTCCTTCCTCCTGTGGCGGGTGAGGTGACTTCTCAAATATTTGGACACAGGAGGTCAGAAGCAGATTCTTGGCATTTGATTTCAGCCTCGGATTTATCAAAAGTCAGTGGAATGGAGATGAAGGCAGGCAAAAGCTGCAGGTGCAGAGAGGAAGGCAGCTAGGGCTCTAAAGGCATTTTGACCCAGGTTGGAGATCTGAGCTGGAGTTGGGAGTCTCAGGTTCTATCCTGATTTTGCTATTCTGCATTCTCATATCAGTTCTTCTCTACTGTCTGGGGCTCTGAGATAGAAAAGGGTTGGAGAGGCCATATCTAGGGGATAATGAAAGTAGAATCCTGGGGCCAGCCTTGCTGGCAGCACGTGTTTCCTTCACAACATCTGTTTAAAGGTGCCTTGGAGGGGAACTAATGCCCTGGAGGGGATGTCCACAGGTGTAGTATTATGAAAATAGAAGGTTAAACCTTCAAATGTATGTCAACTTACCCAGGGCAAGGATTGTCCCAGAGCCAGCAGAGAACCCATCTGTTTTTTTTCAAACAAGTATAATTCTAAACAAAGAAGTAAGAGACAAAGGTAACATGGGAAGAGGAGTTAGGTAGGACACATACGGGAATTTTTAAGAAAGGGAAAGAGAAAAGAGAATCATAAGAATATGATAGTGTTTGAGGGGCAGAGACAACATGAGACACTGAGAAATCGTCTGAGAAAGATGCCAAGTGTGACAGAGACAAGGAGGACAAAATCAGAATTTGGGATGAGACAAAACCAGATAGAGAGAAGGGAAGAATGGACAAATGGATATACACAAGACCAACGCCCAGTAATGCAAGTAGGAAGGGGAAGTGGGAGCAAGCGAGTCTCCTGTTGTGCCAGATTATTTCCTATCTCTCCTCCTGGCCCCATTTCTGGATCGGAGTTATAAATAGCAGAGAGTTGGAAAATGTCCCCCTCCCTCCCTTTGCTTCTGTCCCAGCTTGGGGGGAAGGGAGAGGAAGAGGGACAGGCCATCAGGTCCCTGTGGAGATCCCTTCTCAGTCCCACCCAGATCCTGCCTGAGCCAGCCCAGGACTATGCCTCCTCCAATCTCCTCTTTTGACGGATGGGAAATGTGCAGTCCTGGAAAGGTCTAGCAGTGGGAGACACCCTTTCCATCCCTTTGCCTCTTGGGTCCAAGCTCTTTCATCTTTGCCCTTCTTTGACACCCTCATACCCCTCTCCCCCCACCAGCTTACTTTCCTCTTCCTGTATCGCCCTCAATGTTTTTTGTGTTCCTCTTCATTCCATCCCTTGTTGATCAAAGTCTTGCCCTTCTTTCTTCCTCTCCATTCCTTTTCTTTCTCTGTTTCCCCATTTGCTCCCCTCCCCATGCCCCCGAAGTTTTTCTCTCTCTTCTTGCCTCTGTTTTTTCTTTTGGTCCCTTGAATGCTGACGATGTGGCTAGCATTGCCATTGTCATTGCCGAGCTCTGGGGGGTGGGGTGGAATGGGTGGAAAGTGGTTTGATTCAGACATCATAACAGGTGCTCTATGTGACCACGGGGAGGTGGGAGCAGTAAGGGACCACACTGGACCGCTCCCCTTTCATCTCCTCTCCGTTTCCATCTCTCTCTTCCCAGGTTGTCCCTTAGCCTCTCCCACTTCTCATCTCTTACCCTCCTTTCTCTTTGTTGGCTCCTCTCTTTCTGTCTGTACTTTTCTCTCCCTCCACATTCCTAGGCGCCGCCTCCGCCGCTCGCCCGCTAGGGTTGGGGGGAGGGGAGGAGAGAGCCGCGCGGGGGCGGGGC